CGTCTGATGGCTATTCCCAGCCTCCTTAAAGTAGGTTACTTTCTGAAAAGGTGCTTTCATTACTGTGGAAACTGGAACCAAAACCAGAGCTCTAGTCAGAAAGCTTTGGGAATAGGTTTGGTTTTACACTCACTGTTTCAAAAGAAAACTGTAATTACGTGTTATCCCTCCCCTTCAAATGCCACAGGGAAAAACAGGCAGGGGCCCATCCACAAATGGTAAATCCTACAGAATTATCATTAATATTGCTACTTTACACTTTCCTACCTACTAAGGGAACTATGAATATATTAATGCTAATAGAGCACTCCGTTTCTCGGATGAAAATGCAAAGCATGATTAATACAAGAGACTGGGGTTTTATGTAAGATCTCTGCATATTTTTACTTCCTTAGCTTGCCCAACAGAGAACTAAAATAATTTGCTCTTTGCCTTCCTGCCTCACTAGTGTTTTGAGATATTGATTGGCTAGCCACGAGCCGACTCTGTGATCTATGTTAATATTGTAATACTTTACATTTCTAGAGCACCTTGCCCATAAGATTCTCAAAATTCTTCAGTCTATCAAAAAAACCCTCTGGTAGGCTATTAGGGAGTCCCATTTTACACTTAGGAAACGGAGGCATAGAATACATAAAACATATGTAAGAAACACCTTTTACTTATCCAGCCTTTGAGAAACAGCTTTTAGAAGAAGAGTGTTGCTAGTGGAAAAAGAAAACCTATATATGCCATTACAATTCACCTCTTTTTCACTAGCTAAGATTTTTTCCCCCCTTTACTATTCATTCCTGGAAAATGCTTCATGGCCAAAACACAATTGCTAACTTTAGCATCTATGCATTTTGCTCTAAGGACAGATTGTACTGATCTCACGCCATGAAGGCTAATGTACAGCCAACATCTGTAAGGCCCCATGGACATATCCTTATGGAGGCTGGGTGCTGTACAAGCTCTTAAATTAGTAGGCAGCCAAAGACTGTGTATGATTTGGCTCCAGCTCCTTTTGAACTTGGTTGGCAAAGAGATGGATGACAGCCAAGCAGCATCTTGTTATTGTTAGGTGCAAATGGAGAGGACCCAAGGAGGGACAATGTACAACATACCATTTTATCAGTAACCTGGCAACTAACCACTGACAATTGAAATAATCCATTTGCCACAGTCAATACTAGAACAGGATTCTTCAATAATTATTCAAGTTGTTTGCCTTCTTCATTTTCTTTAGTGTGCATACAATACTGTTGAGCAATATGCCTGTCTGAACTCGATAGCAGGGAGTACTGCGTGAGCAGGGCATTCCCTCCAGAGATCTTAATGACTCACTGAGGGGGCCTGGAGCGAATTCACGTCTTTAGCAGGATATGGAAAGTGTGTCAAGTCTGGTACGTGATGGCAAACATACTGCTTTAGGCCAGCTTCATTGCTTTTACCAAACAGTTTTAGTTCAAGCCATTTGCAAACAATGATTTTAAGATATAAAACAATCCGGATCAAAAACACTGTGCCAAATTCAAGCCTGGACACTAAGCTGGCACCATTCCCAATGAGCTCAAGGAAGAATCTTGTGCACTGTGTTAAGTTACAACTCTTTGTACACATCGATGAAGCAAAAAGTATAATGTTCTGAACCAAGTTTACTTTTCTGACTCATGGTATAAACTGGAAAGTACAGGTTGCATAGAGCTATGCTGTCTGAAGAAGGAAATGCTCCTTTAGTGGCTTTGTTATAAAAGGAAGTGAGGCTTCAAGTTGCTAAATTTACATAAAATCAATTTGTAAACTCAACCCAGAAGAAAAATAGGAAACTTTATTTTCTTGCTTTCTGAGTGAATACACTGGCTAGCTTTATTATAGCATTTCATTTTAAAACAAAACAAAACAGCTGGAAAGGGGAGGGTGCTGTTCCTACAACTTCTCCATTGCAACTTGCATCTTTCACATCAGCTAATAAGTTGGCTGCTCCATCACCTAGCAGCTGAAAGAGAAAGAGCTTTCTGTCTCTTCTCCACCCCACCTTATGCTGCTGGTTGATGTGAAGGGGGTGTTTCTACAATCCTCCAAATCCTATCCATCTTTGTTGAGACCTCTTCCCTGTGAATGGACTGAATATAGAGAAGGAAGGCATTATATTAACAAGCCAGTATCCAGTGTACAGGTCCAGATGTCTGTCCCAAGAGACAGTGGCAGATGTGGTTAATTTTCTCAGAAGGGTAGGATGATAAATTGTTCTCAGAAGCAGATGTTGAGCTCTGGACCTGAATGAAGGTATTTCAAGTTAACAAATCTGGATGCACATTTCAGGCAATTCACCTTAATTGTTATCAGTGTAATCGGTCATAACACGAAGCCACCATGGTAAAACCCACAGAGATTTTGAAAATTAAAGTTACTGTACAAACGCAACGGCAAAATTTTCAAATCTTAGTAACTTAAGTCTAGATCATCCCTATTGTACAGTAATACCCACAAAAATTACCCTTGTAAGCTTCTGCCATGCACAAGTGTGTGTGTTTGTCTATCTGTCCCTCCCTCCAATGGGAAAAAAGGAGTCCGAATCACAACACCGATACCTCCAAAATCTGCAGGTTGCAGAGGGCCATCCATATGATGGTCCTGTTCATCTGCAGCAGCTCTGGTTTCCCTCCTTGTCACTGCAGTTCCTTCACTGCTGCAAGGAAAGCTACATTTTTAACTTGGGTATCTGCATCTTGATTGTGGAGATATTTGCAATTGTTAATTTTCACAACCATTTCTTCTGTTGTTCTTTTTGCAATCTTTCATTAATTACATCCAGAAAGAGATATTTAAACCATAGTAATTTCCATGCTGTTAACACTTTATTGTTTATCAGTCTATCCATGCATCTATTCTGCACTCATCTCTGTGGTATCTGAGCATCTAAGTCCTGGTGCTAATCTTCTTCATTTTCTGTTCCCATCAATAAACAGACTAAGCCAAGGCACCACACTTTTATTTTACCCCCGAGACAGCCAGATTGGTAAAATAGGTTGTGTGTTTTGAATATAAATAGTCTAAATACAAAATTGCAGTGATGGCTTTAAAGGAAGATCTGGAATGGCCCAATTCCATCCAGGGTCAAGCACTCACAAATTAACTTAAAAGCAAATTATGCACCTTTGAAAAATCAGGCCAATGGCCAACAAGCAGAAAATGTTAGGGGCAGTAGCTTTAAACCCTCCACAACCTACACATCTGAACAGTGCTGAACAAGACATTTGTTAAGTTACAGAAACAAATCAGAATATGGGAGATGTAGGAAAATACATTCTGGCAATGTTAGTTTCAAGCTTCTTTGGGGATTTGGGTACTATACAAAATCCTACAGTTATGGATTCTTCAAACCACTGTATTCTTCAAATACTGATGCAAAATCTCTGAATCATCTGGATGTTGTTTTAAAATAATGTAACAATACACACAGTATTAGTTTTACATTCTGCACCAAGAACAAAAAAGTATTATATACTGTATGCCTAACACTACTGATTTATGCACCTACATCTGCTTTTCTAATTAACTGAACCAGAACTAATTGTTTTCTCTGGGAGAAAACTACATATACAAGATGTTATTCTCCTGAACCAGAGAAGCAGCAATTTGTATTTGTACTGGAGCGGTGTGCACCGGAACAAAAAACAGTGTTTTGTTAGACTTACGTGATGGAAGACAGAGTACACTGAGGGCTTGTCTACACTTGAAACTCTACAAGGGCACAGTTACAGCACTGCAGCTGCACCCTTATAGTGCTTCAGTGTTGACACTACCTATGCCAACAGGAGGGGTTCTCCCATCGGTGTTGGTAATCCACCTCCCGGAGAGGCAGTTGCTAGGTTGGTGGATGAATTCCGTTGGGTTGGTCTGAGTTTTTTTTTGTTTGTTTTTTTAAATATGCTAACATTAGAAACACTACTTCAGTACTATATAGCCAGATAAAACCAAAGATTGTTGTGCAGTTTCATGCTAAAAAAGGGGTTCCGCGTCCCTCAGTGAATTGGCACAACCACCCAATCCAGCATCAATTGCTCAAACATGTGTGGAACGTTTTGCTGGGACATGATTCTAGGTAACCATACGCACTCTGGCTGAGCTGTAGAGGTGGCCCTGATTAATATCCCCCCACAAGCTAATATTTGTATTGCAAAATTTGTGTTTTTCATAATCCATGGAATAAACGCAGCAAGAACATTTGCCAGGTAGTAGCTGAATATTTTTTTGATCCAATTTGCTTTTATCCTCTTGCTGATCTTTTGAGGATGTTAAATCATGCCAAGCACTGCAGAGGGTATTTTACATATACCCGTTTGAGTTAATTTGCAAGTATTAAAGTCTCACTAACAAAGGCTAAATGCTGTGAGCTATTGACATTTCATTAATCTTCAAAGAATCTCTCATTCTGGATATGATTAATGTATGTGGCAGCAAATAATGAAAAGGGTATCTATTGTGCACAGAACCATTTAGAAATCTTGAAAATCCTTTTGCATTCCCTTTGTTCCACAGTCTCTCCTCCGCCTGGCTGAGAATAACAAAACAGTCACCGGTTATGCTATAGCTGGTTCCCACCAACACAACATTCCGATCCGCACTGAGCTGTGCATTCAAGCAAAAAAAGGAACAAACATAAACAACTCCATTCCCATCCATCTACTAGAAAGGAACTCACAGATGCTCCATTATATACCTCCCACTGAAACAGATGAGGCAGAAGATTTGTATAAAAAAGAGGGAAGACTCAGACAAAACAGAGGGTCATTGTAATTGTTTTCATTGATAATCTGTTAACCAATGTTACACTACTGACATGCTACTTATGCTTCCCCCCGCCTCAGTTTAAAAAAAACAAAAAAAAAACATTGTTAGCTGGCCCTGAGAATCATTCTAATTTACTTCCCTTCAGAAACGGTGCAAATATCAGATAATATTAAGTTCATTTAAAGAATGTGAGAAGAGAAAGGAAAAAAAGCATGACACATTTATTGAATTTTAATTTTAATTATGTATATAAATAGTAATGAGAGACTGAGGAGTTTTGAGACTTGCTACTTGCAGTGCTGATCCTCCAGTAGGCTCTGCATGGGCAGACTCTTAAAGCTCTCTGGATGCTGTGTTGCAGGACTGAGACCTAAAACTTTCCATGCTGACAAATCCTAGGCAGTGTCCATACCAGAGTACCAGATAGTGCAAAGTTAGTCCTTCCTGAGGCAGAACACAGGTTAACTATACTTGTAATCAAAACAGATTCTTCAGTCATCTCTCTCTATAGATATATATATAGAAAAATGTTGATCTTGTCTAAATCTTCTATGCACCTGTGTCCAAAGAAGGGGAAGAAATAAAATTAATATCATAGGCTTATTTTTTGCCACTGCTAATTTGCAATTAAAAACATACTTATTTTGGTTTGCAATTTAACCAGCAATTGCTCAAGGCACATGCTGATAAATACAGATATCTTTGTAGTGCAGTGATTTACTTATTGGTATTATAGTAGAATGCATTGTGCTAGGTGCTGTACAAAGCACACAGCAAAACCCTGCTGCAAGGAGCTCATATAGAACTATAAACTATCACATAAGCCACAGAGAACTTTGCTCCTCTGGCTGGGGAATGTTGTGGTTGGGGAACATAGGAAGTGGGGAGAGCACCAACAATACATCCCAACTTGAATTCGAGTAACCAATACCTTTTTACCACTGAACAATTTTTTACACCTGTTAAATATACAAGGCCTGATTCTAATCTGATTTACACTGGTGTAAATCTAGAGTAACTGCACTAAAGTTAACAAAATTAGATAGATGAAGAACCAATAGTAAACATTAATTTTGGGGATACACCACTACTCCCTGGTTCCCTTTCTCCAGGCCCCCACTTCTTCTTCCCCATCTCAGCCCAAGCCCACTGCGCAGCTCCTCCCAGCCCCCATGCTGTCTTCTCCCAGCCCTGCCCCCTCCTGCAGCCCCATCACCTCTCTCTCCTGTCTAACCAGGCTGCTGACTATCCACTTTTCGCCTCTGCCTGCTTCCTCCACACTGGCATTACCTGCTGCCTAGGGAAGTGAGATTGTGGGATTTGGGGGTGTCTTTGGGGCACTGAGACTCTTCCCAGAACCCACCATTTGGGAAACATTGCTAAAGGGGGTCTCCACAGCATCACTGCAAAGTCATTCTGTCCTAACAGCATAACCCAAAGACCTATCCTATAGCAAGTTCAGATGAGTGAGGGCAGGATTTTGCGTAGGCCTGTGGACAGCAATTCCAGGCCCCAAGGTGGAACAGTCAATGGGTCCCCTAGAAAGGGATGTGCCTGCTTGGCTGCATTCGCTGCCACTGGTACCACCCCGCGCGTGCCTCGGAGCCAGGGCCGGCGGAGATTAGCCTTTTGTGGGCCCGGTGCCAAACATATTTGTGGGCCCCCACAGGAGCAATAGAACATAATGCGGGGAGGTCAGTACCTAGAGCGAGGGGCCGGCCAAGGGCAATGGGGTATGACATGGATGGGGCGGCCCCGCTCTGTCCAGCCAAGTGCGAGAGCACTGTTTACAGACTGGCAGCCACCTGATGCCCACCAGTCCACCCAGCCCTGTGCTACCAGCATGCCCCTTCCCCTCTGGGGCGGGCCCATGCCGTACCACACAGCCCCCCCAACCAACCCCTATGCCCAGCCTCCTGTGCCCACAGCCCCAGCGCCCTGCACACCACCATCCCTGCCCACAACCCCACCGCAACTGCTTAGCGCCCCGACACACAGATCTTCCCAATCCTGCACAACCCAAAGCCCTTCCCCATAGCTCCACCACTACAACTACACAGCACTCCACACAGACACCCCCCCACTGCCTAGCACCCCAACACATACAGGCCGCCCCCCACCAAGCACCCCCCCAGTGTCTAGCACTCCAAAACACACAAACCTCCCCCACTGCTCAGCACCCCCACCCCCTCACAGCCCACCAGACACTCCCACAGACCCACTCCCCCATGCCTTGCCCTCTGGCCGCACTCACCAGCCCTGCTGAGCCAGCACAAAGCAGGGATCCCCTCTCCCAGTACAGTCCTAGGGGACAGAACAACTGAAGCTCCCTACTCCCTTCTCTTCATGTGTCATTATATAATGGCTGCATCTGTAACTTTCACTCCATGCATCTGAAGAAGTGGGTTTTTTACCCACGAAAGCTTATGCCCAAATAAATCTGTTAGTCTTTAAGGTGCCGCTGGACTCCTTGTTGTTTTTTAACTGAAGCTTGGGCACAAAGAGCGGTCCCACCCCCCAGGGCCCCACCCAGCCCTACTTGCCTGGTGCTGGGGCCCGCAGCAGAGAGGAGACGTTTCCTTGCAGGCGTGTCGTGGGGCAGCCACCGACTTCCCCAGCCCACTGCTTCAGCAGAGCGGGCCCTGAGGCCCACCCGGGTAATTTAAAAGGGCCTGTGGCTCCTGGCCACCGCCCTCACTACTGCAGAGCGGCGGCCGGGGGGCCCCGGGCCCTTTTAAATCACCCAGGCCCCTGGGCAATTGCCCCCTTTGCCCCTCCCCATCAATGGGCCTGATTTTGCCTTATTTTAGTAGCCAGATTCAAATATTAGTATTGCAAGTGACTTAAAAGGAGAATGAAATAAAAAGAAAAAAAAGCACAATCTGACATACTTAAGCATATATCCTAAGCAGTGCAAGTAGAAAAAATGTGTCTTGTTAAAAGCTTACAGTACTGATCTCCAGCGCTGGGATTACCCAAATCTAACAAAAAGCCCTGACTCAAGCAAAGTCTATGGACTCTAATCTAAGCAGTGATCACAAATCACCAGCCATTCATCAGCACAGCTGACAAAAGACACAGAATTCAGCTTTCACCATCTCTCTCAGGCCAAGGACTCAGGTTTTTAAGTGGCTCAATTTATAAAAAGTTCATTGTAGCGTCTCTACAGATAACTTATGGAAAAGTAAGTGGTATTTCAAGGGCTACACTTCCCCCTTTTAACCATTTAAACATATTTAAAGAATTAAATGTTTAAAAGAGTTAAGTAAATAGATATGGTAAAATGGACACCAGAGACACTTCACAAATCAGGACTTCAGACACCAGCTTGCACTAGAGATGTTGTTCAAACTTATTTGCATAGTGTGAGTCCAGTACTGGGACTGATAGCTTTTGGGAACAGAGCTTTGAAAAACGTAAATGTGTAAAGTGAATGTTAAGAGTATGATTCCCCCCTCCCTTTGCTTAATTAGAAACAAATAATTTAGGTAAGTTATCAAAAGGTGAAATAAAAACAGCTGAAAATAGGTCTATTTGTATATAAAATATCTAGTGGTACTGGAAGGACAATTTCATGTTTCTGATTAACCTGACACTTGCAGATGCATCTTTATATACAGAAGACAATATTAATGTTTTTGTAGCATTTAGATCCTTCCTAATTCACAGTGAAAAAATATTTTAATTACACATCCTCTTCCTTTGTTTTCCCTCATGCCTCTGACTCAAGCCAAACCTTTTCTCCTCTTTCTTATCATGTTTATTTCTATTTTATGTAGCTATTTTGAAAAAGGTAAATACATTTTTATTGTTGTAGTTAAAGTATGAAATAATGTCTATGAATCAGTCAGCCGACTTTTGGAACTGTCAGGAGTTAACTACAGTAATTAAGGATTCATTAATGGAAACATTAAAGTGCAGCTCTATTCTTAAAAGTGATTATGTAAAAATAAGGGATTGTTATTCAAGAGATGTGAGCATTCAGTCATATCTGCAGAATCTTTGTTAGTGCTGATGACTCATGAAATTCAATGACCTCAACCTGTTTTTCAAACCTAGATGGAGTTTACAGGGCTGGCAGTTGAGGTGGGGGAGGAACATTTTGCTTCTAAACTGAGCTTATTTGATACAGAAGTCTTTGAGAAACAAACACAAACCCACAATATCACTTTTACAGTCACTTTCTAGAGTAGAATCATTCTTTTGTGTAACACAGATGAAAATGGTAAAGATGAGTGTATTGGCAGGTAAGCCCAGAGAACTGACACTGCATCTGTCAACCACACTGTCAATCTTGCAGACAAAACCAAACCAAACATTTCTCTACTGTATTTGCAAACTTCAAAACAGCACTTTAAAAAATTGGCTGGCTATAGAACTACGATATGTACATTTTAAACAGGTCCACTATCTTATCAAATAAAAATGTAGAGGCAGCAGAGTTTCATACAAACCTCATTCATGCCACAAATTATTCTACATTTTTAACAATAAACAGCAGTAATACTCTTCAGTTACATAGCATTTTTTTGTCCTGTGATCTTAACCTGCTTTAAAAAGGTTGATTACCCTCATTCCAGGAAGGCTAGAGTGGTCATGTGACTTGCCCACAGTTATACAATGAGTCAGCAGCAAAGTCAGAAACAGAACTCTAGTCACTTCCACATCTCCTGCTCTGAGCACAGGACAACACTGCCTTCATTTGCCCAGACTCTTGAGAAACAATTGTGACCAATCCTTGTCCTTTACCTCTTTGATGGGAAGTGATGGCGCATTCTACTTCATGGTTCTTTCTTCACCTGAATTGACGTGTACTTCCACTGGCATGTCATTGTTGGCTTCAGACTTCAAAAGAAAACACAGTATTTAAAATGAAGCCCAACCCATGGTAAACAATTCTGCCAGAACAGAAACCCTCTTCAAGAGCTAAAAAAAGAACAGTTACTTACCTTGCACAGTAACTGTGGTTCTTCAAGATTATGTAATCAGTGTGGATCCCACTGTAGGTGCGCCCGCACCTCAAGTGAACAAGACTGGGTTTTTTGAATGCTAGTGTCAGGCCTTGGCTACACTTGGGGATTCACAGCGCTGCCACAAGTGTAATTGCGCGCCTCTCTCGCAGCACTGCAAGTACTCCACCTCTCTGAGGGGAATAGCTTGCAGCGCTGTGAGCGAGCGTGCAGCGCTGCAGGCGCTGATTACACTGGCGCTTTACAGCGCTGCACTCGGAGGGGGGCGTTTTCACACCCCTGAGCGCAGCACGTTGCAGCGCTGTACAGCGCCAGTGTAGCCAAGGCCTATGTCAGTGCACGTGTCTGTATCTCCCTCACAAGTCAAAGCCTGTGTTGCTGAGGACTCTAAAAAGCAGGGACAGAGGGCATGGGATCCACACGGACTACAACACCTCAAAGAACCAAAGGTACTGCAGGGTACATAAATACATTTTTATTGAGGTAGTTAAAGTATGAAATAATGTCTATGAATCAGTCACTCAGTCTACTTTTGGAACGGTCAGGAGTTAGCTACAGTAATTAAGAATACATTAATGGAAACATTTTAAAGTGCAGCTCTATTCTTAAAAGTGACTATGTAAAAATTACTCAAGAAATGTGTGCATTCAGTCATATCTGCATAACCTTTGTTAGTGCTGATCTTCCCCTCTGGGTATGCGTCAGTCTGGTTCCCCCAGTAGGTGGCTGGCAAGCAGTATGCTCTCAGGACATGCGAGTAAGGAGTATCAATCAAATGGCTAATTGAAGAACAGCTCTTTCGAACTTAGCATATGCTCTGGTTGCCACGTCAAGGGTATAATAAAAGCCAATGGGCTGCTCCACATGGCTGCCAGACAGATCTTGGAGATCAGCATTTTTCTGAAGCAGACCACGGATGTTGCTTATGCCCTAGTGGGGTGTGCCTTGAGGTTCAGAGGGAGCAGCTCACCAGCCAACTAATAACAGGTGGAAATACACAGTGTGATCCCCTTTGAGATTCTCTGGGATGAGATGGCTTGGCCTTTCAATGTGCTGGATATGGCCACGAAGAAGCACAGAGAAAGTCTGAAAGGCTTGGTCCCATGGGTGGAACCCCCCTTGGGAGGCTAGCCCCCGGCTCAGCCCCTTCCTTCCTTGACCCCCCCCTGCCCCCGCAGCCAGAGCCCCGAGTGCCACCCCCACCGGCTGGAGGAGCCCCGGGCCAGCCTCCCCTGTCCAGACCCCAAGCTGCCCTGGGGAAAAGAATCTCACTCTCGCAAAGACGCTTTAGATATGCCCCATGCAGGTTCCAGGGCAGCCGAGGAGGCAGTATTTGCTACTCAGCTTCCTGGGTTGCTTAGTAATCTCTCTGGGAGATTACTGATGAACTCAGGAAGCTGAATAGCACATACCGCTTCCTCAGCCAACCTGGAACCTGCATGGGCATAATAAAGCAAAAACTCCCCCGCAAACCCTGCAACTTGGGGTCCGGCAGCCGCAGCAGTGCCAGGGGAGGCTCAGCCTCCCCTGGCCTATTATACCCACTGCCCATCCTTGGTCCTGTTGATGTCAAAGTAAGACCCTGAAAATATCTAGAGTATGAAGCTTCTTTTCTCTGGGCGAAGAGCGTGGCTTCAAGAAGAAGACTGGTAAAGTAATAGACTGGCTCAGGTGCAATTCCAAGACCACTTTAGGGATGAACTTAAAGTGTGGTTTCATCACCACTTTATCCTTGTGGAAGGATGCATCAGGTGATCCAGCCATAAGATGCTACAGTTCACTGACTCTCCATGGTGATGTGATGACTACAAGAAAGAGGGTCTTGATGGTGAGTTGGTTTAATGAGCACTCTGCTAATGGTTTGAATGCAGGCGCCATACACTGTAGGAGAACAACATTAAGCTCTCATATGGGAGTCGGGTCTCTAAATGGAGGGCAGGTATGAAGAAGACCATTGAGGCACACAAGACTGAAGGAGTCTTTATTGGGGCATAAGACGCCAATATTACTGCAAGATAGATTTTAAGGGAGCTAGACAGTAGACCTGCCAGTATCAGGAGAAGTATATAGTCCAGAATCTTTATTGTCAGAGCCTCTACTGAATTCACATAGTTCTGGGCTATCCATATGGGAAATCTTTTCCACTTTGAGGAACAGTTTCCTGGTGGAAGGTTCCTAGCTTTGTAAAATAATTTCCCGGTCCTGCTCATCCAGCCAACATGTGCAATGATTGTGTGTCTGGTTGCAATATTTGACCCTGGTTCTGTGATAGCATGCCCAGACAGGTGGGAAGACATATGAGAGGCTGACTGGACATTTGATTGAATATAGTCTTGTCCTTCACAACATTCTCTGGCAAAGAATTCCACAGGCTGACTGTGCATTGTGTGAAAAAAAATTCCTTTTAGGATATCTTTCAGCTCCTCTCTCCCTTCATGAGGGAGTTTTGCCGGAGAGTTGTAGAGAAACCAAGGTGACTGCAATCTGGATCAGGAACTCCTGAAAGGCCTTGAAATTGTTCACTGCAGAGGCTACCACCTTGTCCACGGATGATGAGCAGAGGTCCTCAGAAAGTAAAAGCTTTGATCTTGCTCCTCTCTCTGTATTCCAGTGACTGAGGTCTTGCTAACAAAGCCATGGGATGGGGGGTAGGGGGGGGGCTCCTCCTCTTCCACAACAGCCAGAGATTGGTGGGCCCTCTATAGCCCCAACAGTGTCAAAGTAGCGTTCCATATGTGTACAGACAGGGCAGCAGGTTGAAGGCCAGACCAGCGCCAATCCTGGCATGCTAGTGGTTGAGAGTTGTAGAGACTCTCAGGGTCTCCTGGTGGCACCACTCAGACACTAGCAGAGATGGGTCCCTGCTGGACATCAGCAAAAGGGCATGTCCTGGGTATTATGAGGAGTACATCTACTCTACAGTTAGCATTGATTGGTAAGGCAATATGAGTGCAGGTGATGCTGAGAGTGGCTCTGGTGCATCCTGAGTCCATCCTGTCAGTGCCAGAGTCAACATCCACGGGGAAGTATTTCTGATGCCAGGCCCAGTGGAGTCTGCTCCTTTTCATCCATCTTCAATGCCCTGCAGGACTTGGATGACTTGTCACCAAACATCCTCCTGTCTCTCTAGGAGACGACCAAGCTCCTTCTCAAGCTCATGTCTCAGAAAGCCTCTTCCAGCACCTTGCTTCCTTTTCTGAGATGTTGACAGGTTTGGTGCCAGGCGTGGTACTAATGCCAATGTTGATGCTTCATCTGGTTTCTGTGCAATTTTCTGTGCAGTTTTTGGAGCCACCTGCCTAATAGATGGAACACTAGAAGATGCAAGCTTGAGCATTAAAGAGGTCTTTGAGATTGAAAGTGGAATCAGATCCAGTTGTCCTTATATTCTGGGTCTTGAACCCAGGCCTGAAGAGTTGCTAGGCAGAGGACATCACCACCCAGTGGGAGCTATAATAACTTTGTGCTCCACTACCCATGACCCACGGAGGACACAGACAAAAGGAAGCCCCACCTCCAGGGGTCTGACAGACAGCAGCCTCCTGGCTCCTGACTCTCTATAAACCGAAGGGATGTTCCAGGAAGTGTCCAGGCAACAGCACAGATCTCCTGTAGCTTTACTGACCACTCCTGCTCCATGTTCTTGAACCTCTTGAACTCCTGGCTTAAACCTCACCTCGATTTGGACCTCACCTCCTGACTCAGACCCTGAAAGTTGACTTGGACTCTGATCCTTAGTATCAACCCTGGCTTGGAACTTGACTATGAACTCCTATGCTGCTCTCAGCCTCAAGTGTGACCCTGCTCTGACCCCTAGTCCCAACAGCCCTGGTCACGATCCCGACACAGAAGAACCACAGATTGCTCCCGCAGATGGGAGCTTCAGCCTCACCCCTTTCAAATTGCAGGTTCTTTCAGAGAAGCAGAGGCAGACTGAGCCCTAGCCTGGGATGTGGGACTCTCCCAAGCAGAATAGGTATATGCTGTGCCCATCTTTCAGAAGAATTAGTTCATCACAGGACAGTCTAGACTTGCTTGATGCCTGCAGGTTTTGAGTCCACCAGTTCTAAGTCCCTGTCTGCTTAGTGGTTTTTGGTTCAACAAGCACTAGAACAGATTAGAGTGATCAAAATACAGGAAAAAGTAGTTCTGAAGAGTTTCAGAAAATTTTTAAGGAGTTTGGCCAAACCTAAAGTCTAGCAGTTGCACACCAACTAGATTCCATCTCACTGGTATGAGTGATAAGAGGGAACTTAGGGCGTGTCATGGCCACCCCACTCTTTATACCCTCACATGGGAGCACAGAGCAGGGACACGGCTATTCCAAAAAAACCCCAGTCTCATGTGCACCTACATTGGGATCCACACTGATGGAAACCCAAAGGACAATCACTTCTTGCAAAATGAAATGGTCGATGAATCTGACATTCACTTTCTCTCTCCCCCTCACACACAAAATCGCTCCAAGAGTATTTCTAGATTTCAGTCATCCAGTGTTTGGTTTAACACTAAGTAATGGAAGAACAGAAGTTCAGTGAAAGATACTTTAACTGATTCATTTTTGTCTGCACTAATTACAGAGGTAGAAAATTTCCCACAGATGTTGTAGATGCCATTTTGCATTCTTAGACTTCCGTGTTGATTTATACAATAGACCTCTTTTATACTATACCCTTTGAAAGTGTGTTCTCACGCTACTTTTAATTTAACAGAAATTAAAGACTGAAGAAAGGCTTATTAGAGCATCTTTTCAGCCTCCCTGCCAATGCAAGAATGTTCTCTACAGCATATATTCAAATCTAGTTTTAAATGGGTTTCACTAAGAATATTTCCATAACTTCCACTAAGAGACTATTCCACAGTCAGACCGTACTA